TCCAAGCAAGAAAGTTAGCACCGAGCTTGGTGGATATAACTCGTGCTGAAGATGAAAGGCAGAGGAAGACGAAGAACTTGAAACAGCCACAGGAACGAATAAAGCATGAGCTTGAGAGGGCTCTGATACCATGAAAGAATGGGAAACTGTTTTTATTTTTTACACCAGAAACCCTGTATCATTTATCATATTTATAGACAAAACTGTTACACATGTACGAGAAGATATACGTGTTTGCTACAAGAGATAAACTATAAGATTAGTGAGAGTCAAACAACTTGAACTTTATCATGTTCGAGCTTTATCATAGCCAACTAACTCTATTAAAGGATGAGACGTAACAAAATAATCTTTATCCTTACAAGTAGTTGGTGGACATTTGATCGAGAATTAAGTCTCAAAGGAAGCTCCCAATTTTACTATCAGATTATTGTTTTCAATTCTAGCGTAGGACTTCGGAGAATTTCCATCACTTTCGAGCTAATTGTGTGGTCTATCTGAGCACCGCTTGTCTTTATCCACTCTCCCAATGAAGACAATGCGAGGCACTGATCGCCATCCTTTAACAAAATAAATTGTTTACTAGAGTAACATTCTTCACTACACATTCACAAAATATAATATTCCACACACAAATCAATAAATTTTTTTTAAATTTCAACCATACATTCTCCAAAAACTACTATTCAAAACTCTATATTTTCTTTTAAAATGGGAGACAAACAGCTCTAGTTTTAGCTTTGACAAATCAAGTTCTTTCATTTCTTGAATTTGTAATCAGATTTTGCAAAATGGTATTCATATGAAAAAAAATGTTAGTTCTGTCTTTTACGGATGAGGTGGGATGGGATTTCGAGGGAGGGGCGTGTAAGAAGTTCTAAAGGTTTGGATGGCACATCGGGTATAATTTACAAAACAATAAAAAATGTGAGAATACTATAATTATTCCTTTTTAATTTTGACGAATTTTTTTTATATATTTTTTTTCTTATAACGGTAAAACTAACGAAATTGGACATGATGTCTTTTTCCACCAAAAATATTATTTTCCACACTAAATATTTGAAGCAAGGAGATTTATAGTAATTTCGATAGGTAGGAAATTTGTTGCACAATCTCTAATGGATAGGAATTCTATTGCTATTAAGCCAAAATAAAAGTATTGATTTCACCTAAACGTAGGAATGTCAACGAGCCAAGTCGAATCTACTCGCGAGCCGAAACACAAGGCACGAACTCGGCTCAAGTAAAATTAAACGGGTCGCCAAGCAAAAGCTCGACCCGAACTTTCGACTCGAGCCTTAACAAGCAAAGCTCGAGCCGTCTCCTTTCTCTCTCTCTCTTTATTTTTTATTTTTAAATATTGGCATTAGCACTACTGCCCTATTTCTCACTGCCTTTTTTTCCTTCATTTTTTTTTATATAAAGCTCGAGCTTGAGTCGGCGAGCCACACGAGCCGGCTCAAGCAAAGCCCGGAACCCCAAAATGAGGCTCAACTTGAGCCTTGGCTCGACTCCACCGAGCCTCGAGTTGAGCCACAGACAGTCTGAGTCGACAAATCCAATAGACATCCCTACCTAACCATTACATACTAAACTTGGAAATATTAAACTTCCATTCATAGAATTTTTTCTTTGTTCTTTTTCTTTTTTTTTTTTTTTCACGAGCCATGTACTTACATAATTAAATATAATCAAGTCACCATAGTACTTCAATCATAAATCTTACATCTATAATCAACCTTTTCAAGAGTTAACCATTGGAGTTATAATTTTAAATTAACATCTTATATTAATAACCATTGTAGCTTTTCAAAATATTCTATTTTGTTCCAAGATTTTGAATTTTTTTTTTCAGAAAATAAAAATAATTATATATACTAAATAGTAAATTCTTTTCTGAAATGTGGACTTGTAATATATTTCTTTTCATAAAGAAAGATTGCATTGAACTTTATTTTATGCAGAAAAAATCAGATTTTATTAATTTAAAAGTAAACACAACTATAAATTATTTCATCTCCTGCCTCCACAGTCAGTAAAACAATGCTTATTGAACCCGAAAGCTGTGTTCACCATAAAGTCGAAATCATAAACAAGAATCCGATTTGAAAAAGAGAGAGAACTGTGAAACATAGCGTACTTGGGAAAGTAAGATTTTTTGAGACTGTTGGGTCAGGACATAAGCAACTGAATTCTGTTACCTGTACGGGCCCTGTACAGAAGGACACACATTATGGGGGTGGGGTAATTTTTTTTTTTTTTTCAAAATAATCACCCACCCCCACCCCCACCCCTCTCACCCAGCATGTGAGGGGCTGTACGTCAGGCATTTTCCTAAGCAACTAAATCTTCAATAAATCTGCTCTTGCACTAAATAATACAATACAGGAAAATAAATAACAGGTAAAACAATAACGTATAATAAAGCAGACAAACATAATGGTAATTCAATGTTTCTTCGTATGATCAATTCTACATAAAAGTTCACTTGGTAAAACCCCAAAGCATTCATTATTAAGTACACAAAAAGGTCAATCCAGGAAACTACATAAAGTAACTTCCCAATATATATATATATAATATATATAAAAAAAGACAACATATTGACCGTGGCAAGCATAAAAATCTTATTGACAACAAAGAGTCAACAAATCTGGTAACTGTGAGACGTATCAGTGAAAGATCAAGTTCAGACAGCAGGCAGCGCAATCGTGTAGGCACGATTGACCGTGTGAGAGAGGAAGAGAGGAAGGGAAGAAGCAAAAAGGGGGGGGAAAGGGGGCC